ATGAAGGGCGGCCAATCCAAGGGACATTTCTCCTTCTTGTCTTGAAGCCAAAATATATTGCTCTTCGGAAGAACTTTTATGACTTTCAATATTCTTTGGATGCAAAAAATTCTTAGCGGAACATTATACGCTCGTTGAAAATGAACAACAACAAAAAATAAAACACGCAAGTTGTTTTACAGTTGGTGGTTGATAGAAAAATTTAGGTGAGAATTGCTTGATGTAAGTCATTTGGTGAGTTTTTCAGCTGATAGGAACTTGAGTAGTTTATCGATTTATTAGCAGTCCCACGTAGGAAGAACCATTTGTTTCTCAAGTGACTACGTAATCATTGCTTCGTGCTCTTTCTTAGGTACAGCCACACCCCAGACCAGCCTTAGTTGATAAAGTCGCATCAACTATGTTACAGATGGACGTGTGCATGTATTTGCAGCCCTCGGCACCGTAGCAATGCACAACTAAGCACACGAATAGTAGATGCAGCCTTCTGTCCATGTGCAGCGACCAGACCAGTAGAACATTAACAGACGTAACCTTGAGAAGAAGGAGAATTTTGTGTCAACGCAACAATGGAGTACCAGCAGGCAACGTAAGTGTCATGCTCGCCAATTACAACAAACGAACATTTTTGTAGGCGAATTATTTGAAAATACGTGGGAGGGGTGATGGTGGTTGAACATGCACCTTTTATGGTGTAGTCTGTGTTAAAAGCAAAGTTGGGATAATTCCTTTGAATTGCTTCACGCATCCCGGCTTGCTGTTTATGATTATAAGACTTCTCCCGTTGTTAGTTCGTCAGTGACGGATTTCCTTCAATTTAAGCTCAACAGTAAAATAAATGGTAGAACAAATATGCCGTCGTATGTCGTCGTTTTCAAAACGGTAAATTTTCGAACTTAGAACCAAAACGCACATTTAAAGAGTTCCAAATGGTAAGAACTAAAACAGCACAAAGAGTCGACCGATGATAAAGAGGGTAATAATAATGACTTAGAAGCAATGATATCGTGCTTCGGGTTCATGACAACCTTTCATTCACAAGAAAGTGTGGACTTTGGGATCCACGGTATGGAGATATCGCTTTGTCAACCGAATATATCGCTTGTTAAATTACATGTAACATCAGTCGTGTAGAAGAATTGTTTTGGTGTTATAACCTGCGTTTTCAAATTCCCAGACAGACAACAATACGAATTTGGACAGCACAGATATACTTTTAGAAAAGGCCACGCGCGTAAGACAGTAGTCTGTTATACCATTTTCAGTTCGCCTTCGTCTATATTGCAATCACTTTTTTTT